AGCCTCAACTATGCGCATGACACACTCAACTGCGTAAGGACGGGATCAATCAAGTCGCCTAGATCAGCCTTTTCGTCCTGCAAAGAGACCTCGTAGTCCTCTGCCGTATATTTGCCCGGAAAAGAGACCCCCAAGGCGTAATTTGGGCCGTACTTATCTCGCCAGTAGAACCGTATCACCTTCCGGACCGTGCGCTCGTCTCGTGCCGTGAGGCGCCACGCGTGTAGGGGGAGAGCTCCTCGGTAAGCTGCCAGTTGGGAGGAAGGGCTACGTCGTCTTCTTCCCTATCAGATTGTAGGCGGGCAAGGAGCAAAGCCTCTTCCTGCAAGGCATGGAACCGATCGTCGCGCTCCCGGCGCTGTTGCCAGTATCTGCCGAGAAGGGTGGCCTCGTTGGCGAGGGCATCTTTTTTTGAGGGCGCACGAGGTCGGCAATCTCTTGCAAGTGCGCCCGCAGCTGTTTAAGGCGCGTGCCCTCCTGTTGCTTATACACCTTCTGTCAGAAAACACTGTCTCTAGTCATCCATGAATGGGAAGAATGCATTGTCTGTCCTTTTTTCCTCTGTCCTTCGAAGAGGATGATTGTTCTCGTTGATATACACAAAGTATGTGGTCTGTGCACCGGGGTGCCCATGTTCATGCTCCACCTGGAATCTTTCTAGATCCTTCCACATCGTACCATCGAGTACCTTCGTATCTGACAGGTTGAGCAGCCAAACAGGGCATGAAGCTGAAATGCCCCCGAGACAAGCTCCGCCTACCCCGCGACAGAGTCCTCAAAGTCCCAGCATGTCCCCTCTTCGAGCCATTTCGTCTCCCCGCGCGAGCCTGGACGTCGGGCCTCTGCCAGAAGCAGAAGTCAGCAGCGGTCCGGATGGAAGGTTGGGAAGCGATCAGATTCCGCCTCAGAAGGTATCGCGACCCGTATGCAGTCGTGCTGCTTCGGCCGCTTCCGGAAAACCCCGTACCGGAAGGATTTGGAAGAAAGAACCACCCAGTACGGTTCTAACCATTCTCGGGAGGCGTAAAGGCCCGAATTGTCAGACGTTTTCAGCACCAAGAAGATTGTTCTGTATTCTCTGCTCTCTTCTCACTAGGAATTCTGTCCCCCAGGTTGTCCTTATATCGTTCAATCCGACAGCCTGGAGAACATTTCCACAGTTGTTGGTCTTAGCGCTAAATCCCTAAATCCTTGCGCTAAATCCTAAATCCTTACGCTGAATCCTAGCGCATGGGCCCTGTAGATGCCTAGAAAGAATGCCTTGCGGCTGACACGAATCGACTTGCCCGACTAGAAGGTGCAGGTAGCCGGGAAAGCCCATTTGTTATTAGGGATTCCTAGTGCTTGCTTTTTTTATATTTAATCGCGACGGAATGATCACGACGGTGATCGCGGTTTCCTTGGCGGTAGTGTCCGTCGTTATTCCAATCTCTTCCGGCCGGTCTATGGGCAGGGCCTTTTATATAGTTACTGAAGCAGTTTCATACAAGCAAAGGAACTAGGCATTGGGCTGGATAGTTTAAACAAGCTTCTCTAAACTAGCAATCAATACTTTGCAGTTCTTAGGCTTGGAATTCCCAAGTCTACTAGTGGTCAACGTATGTCAGCTCCCCGTCGTCTACCTTCCGCCTCCCCCGCCTCAACCCGCGCTTTCGGCCACACCAACCCGAACGAACCGACACCCTGTCACAGATTGTGTACCGCTACAAAACAGCCACAGCTGAAAGGCACTGTTACAAGGGGACAAAGTCGGCTTGGAAAAGTCTCAATAGGAGTCAGAATCTCCTCGAGGGATCCCTTCGAGGGGCGCCCTCTATATAGGCCTCTAAGTGGCCCGTGCAGACTCCTAGGGTACGTATCTAATTGCGGGGTCGGGGAGCCAAGCGCCTGCAACTGGTCGTTGGTCCTGCGAGGGACCTGTGACTTGTTGGAGGCGACCCAACCACGAAGCGCCCGTTTATCAAGGCCTCCTTATTGGCCTCCTGTTGGCCCAATGGGCCTGCCGTTAGTCACAGGTGTGATCCCCGTGTGACAGGCACTGCTACCAGCGGGGTAGCGCCCAGGGGCGCACGTGGCCGCCTCCTCTCTACATACACTGTACGACGGAAGTTAAAAGCCCTTCCCCACTGTTTGGCCTTGTTCTCTCTTGGAAGAGGGGCCAAGAATCAGCACCAGCGACTGCAGCACTGCCTTCTGAATACAAGCCTTATTGGTCCTGTGGGCTTGGCCGCACCTACTTAAATTGCCTGTCGGTTTGTAAATAGAGCCTGCCCTAAAGCATAGAGCACATCAGTCCTACAGGGTTATGCAGCTTGTCCCATAATATTCTTCTTAAATGAGAATATCAATGTTTTCAGCTTGAAAAGGACGGGATAGAGGGCAGGCAGAGCTTAGTGTTGTGTATGGCAATGTAAAAAATCCAGGAGAAACTACATAGAAGCGTCCCAGGCCTCAGAAGAGGATGCGCCCTGTGTAACAACCCTGCAGGGCGCAGGTATCATTATCCCTGTGGAGCCAAGAGCCCCATCTGCAACAACCCGTAACCCAAAGAATGATTCACCTGTCCGGAAGCGGGATCACTAGTATTATGCGGCATCACCGACAGGGAGTCGTAATATTGTTTAGGGCCACGACACCATGTATAACTAGGGCCCGCAAGACTCCCTGTTAAGGTGTCACGGACCGGCACAATGGAACCGTGTAATCTACCAAGTAGACTTTAGAATTGAAGATGAAGAGGAAAGAGGGAATCTATAAGACGCGTGTGCGCGTGCCCGCACTTGAATGCCAGGCTGTGGGGCACGTGCATGGCTGAGTCAGCCAGACCTCGCGCCACGCCATGACACAAGGGGTCTGGAGGGCAAGCAACCGTTTTTTGTTTTTCCTGTTCAGTGCTGCCAGGCACCTTCTGCTGAATACACCACTGCCCCGCACGCTTTCTCTAGGCTACTGAGTGACCTGGACCCCTGAGATCTCCCAGCGAGAACCCCTTCCTGTGCACAGCACGTTACACACGCCCGGCGCAGCCCTTCCGCTGAGCGCCACGAATCTCAACACAGTATTGCTACTGGTGGCCCGTCCCCCCGCTGGCGACCCCAATGTGCCTATCAAGGGAAGCCTCTATAAGCCGCCTATCTGCTGCCTGCTGCCCCTCATGGGTCTGCCCCTGCCGGTTGTGCCAGACGGGCGACGTCGGTGTGATCTTTTTTAACCCCTCCTCCGCCGCCTTAACCTCATCCTCGTCCGGACCGGGCTGGTCTTTAACGTGATGCAAAGCCGCCTGCAAAAGAACCTGCTGGTCGTACAGTTCGGGCCAATGCCTGAAGCCCCACCTCCATGTGCTCTTGTGGCCTTCAGTATTATACCTTTCGTAACGGTCGCGGAAGATGTGGTGGTCCTTCATGGCATAGTACGGGTCCCATCTGTACCGATTAAGATCCGAAGCCAGAATGGGCAGTGGGTTGTCCTGCCCCGGGGGCGATTTGAGGAAGGCCAAAAGGGCGCGTAGTTGGTCGTCGGTTGGCGGGTATAGTGTGAATGGTCCCCCGTCGCGGCCGTCGTGGAAATAAACAGCGTTGCACTGTGGGTTTAAACGGCAAGTTAGCACCTGAACGTGGCATAATACACAAGCACGAGCAAATGGAAGGCGAGGAGGGCCTTACTTCACTGTCGGATTTGCCCCGATCGAAAACCACAACGCCGCCGAAAATCATACATTCTGCCCAATATCCAACAATATCCGCTTCGCCGTCAGGGTACTGTTCGAAGGCTGTATAGGCGCGGTGGTGGAATGGGGTTATTGGCAAGGGGACCGAGTAAGAATATCGCTGGCTAAGCAACTGAATTTGCATCTGGGACGCGAACCAGTCCATGTGTACCTTGCGCCTGTGGACGCCGGCGTCCATTTTGAACAGGTGGGCGGCGATGGAATGGCAGGCGACGGCCGCCATTTCGACAAGGCGCAGATCGAACTCGGGGCTTCCGACTTCGACGGCGTTGAACGCGTGCAGGAGCTGGCGCCGGAACTGCAGCTGGCGGCCGGCATCGAACGTGCGCCCGAACTCCTCAATCTTCTCCAAGGCGGCTTCGCAGGTTGTGCTGTGGTTGAGTTCGTATATGGGGTGTGACCTCATGGGCGGCAGGAATGTCTCCCACGTTTGGATCGTCGGCAGCCCGTCGAATATCTGAGCGAATGCATCTTGCGCCGATGCCGTCGCGAGGACATTGCCGACAGCGAGCCGGAAATGCGAGAGATGTTCGTCGTCGAGGGCGCCGGCGGCAGTATCGGTGTCGAACTCGGGCATCGTGGCCATGTGTTTGAAGCACGCCACAAGTTGCTGTGCAGTTGGAACGGTGTGGCATGCAGCGAAGGTTTTCAAAAGGCTGGGGAAACACTCAACATAAGCCACACGAGTTCCGACACGCCCTAGCCTCTCGCCATTTGGGGGCAGTGGATTCCCGCGCACTTGCGGAGCGGCCAAGGTGGAGGCCTTTGGCCAATAGGGAGTGAACTGGCTGAGCAGTTGATCCACTATCGCCCCGCCGGTTTTAGGCACGCCCGCCGACGCGCTGCAGCCAAGCTGACGCGCGCCGTTTCGCGACCAACAAACATTGGGTTAGGTCATTCAGTTTCGTGTGTGGTTTTCTCGGTGGTGTGATTTCCAATTAGCCTAATCACCTCCCCCTGGGTTGGCCTCCTGGTCCAGCGAATCTTGCACGCAGCGCGCGGACGGGCCGCAGAATGCCGTTGGTCACCACCCCCGATGACAGCCTTGTCGGTCGCTTCGAGGTGACCCGGAATAACGGCCCTCCCATAGCAGCTCCCCCGCATGTGCTTTAATGTCGCTCTATCGCCCAACCTAGCAGGTTTCGAATGGCGCCCAACGAGGGGTCGGGCCCCAACGGATCTGGAGAAAAGAGCATCCTCGTTACTACTACTACTACTACTACTACTCCTGCTGGATTTGTAAACTCCTTGCCTCCAATTCCTCACCCTGCAACTGCTACGACCACAGAATCAGCGCAATGTCGTCCTCCAGTGCTACCCAAAATGAGCCTGCAATCGGCCCCACGCGCATGTGGCAAACCTCGAGCGGCATCACGTTCAACGGCATATGGGACTCGCAGACTTTCTTGCCCATCAACGGGAACACTGAGATCTTCACTTGCGTACACTCCAGCCTGTTCTGCCCCCAGGCTCGCCCGCCCGCCTCTCTCGTCAGGGCACCCCGTCCCGTCTCCCGCTGACAGTTTTCGGACGCTTCTGACTATAAGCTTGTATCTTCAATGAGCATCGGTGTCCGGACCCTAGAGTCCGACCGCGGAAGACAGGTCCTCCAGAGTGTCGGGACCGAGGTTATCCAAGCGTGGCATGACGAGGGCGTGCCTTTCGATGGGGACCTCCAAAATATACGAGACTACGTCAACCACTTCCTCTCTCGCATTAGAAACAACTTCCCGATGGTGATCCTCGCAAGCGAAATCCGCAATCCAGATAACCTCGCCCAAACGGTGAGGAACGATCCCGGCCCACCACCCGGAAAATGGGACGGCAACCTGTGGGACTACAAGCCCGTCGTCGCGACAGGCTTTTATTTCAACCCAGAGGTGATTAACTAGCAAGCGCCATCCCGTAGTTATGAACCCTGGCCACCGCTAATCAATACTGGTGCTTGTTTCTAGCGCGTCCTGGCCATGGCCCGGAACTTCGCCTCGCCCACATTGCCGCAGCAAGCGCGGGAGCGTGATATCACTTTCCAATTCCTCTTCGGGATGACGACGTGCCACGAGCTCGTCCATGCGTTTATCGGCTACCTCGCGGGGACCAACGGGGCTTTGGACAAAAGCTACACGCCCCCCCACGTTACTGTCCGAGGCTACAGTCAGAGCATAATGAGCCGCGGCGGCGATATGCTGCCAAGGGGTGAGTCGGGACGAGTGTTTGACCTCTTCATGTACGGAGGCACCGTCGAGTTTTACCGCGACCCCAACCAAGGGGACGACCAGGTTGAGTTATCTTTTCCGGACCATTTTCAGAGAGAGAAACCGAGAGGATGCTTTGCTGATTGATGTTCGTCCCTGACTTTAGCCTGGGGTCCCCTACCTTGTGGATGCCAGTGGGTTAGCACGCAAAATAACCCGGGCCTCGATCGACGCCCAAATCCTCAATCCCGAAAGTACGTCTTGACTTGGCTGCCCTATTATTAAACCTCCCCCGCCGCCGCCAAAAAAAAACCCCCGTACGTAGCACAAACGAAAACCCCCTGCGCTAACAACGATCCTGGACAGATGTTGCGGTTTACCCGTTGCAAACCCACCCTGAAGCCTTCGATGCGGCGGCAAGGATCCATCGGGAGCTCCGATCGATGGGAGCGGGCCTCCCGCCAGACTCTCCGGGCGGCGGCGGCGGCAGGTTCATGACGGCCGCCGTAGAGAGATACTACGTGTCGGATGCGGACGCACGCTTGGTGGTGTCCGATCACCGCAAGGTCCAGCCAGTCACGGTTAGGTAAAAGCTACGGCAAAACTATCTAACACCGTCGCCGTCGCCTCGCCATCGTTGTCCCAATCAATCTAGGGCAAAGAGGCTGGGTGAGAAACAAGGCAAGGAAAGCCGGCAGATGAGGGAGCAGATAGAGTCGACGGCTGAACAAAAGGGGGAGCAGGATCAGGAGTGATTTTGTCTGCGATTAGCTTGCCTTGTTGTAGAGTTCTTAAAGCTCCTTACAAAACTGGGAATATTGTTGCACCTTGCGCTCAGCCTACTTTTCGGCATCATCGCGCCAGAAGCGAGACGTCGCTTTCACATCAGGGTCGTAAGGCGATACGTCCAGCATCTGCAGCGACACTTTCGCCCCTCCTTCTCATCGCTAACTTCCTCTCCGGCCTTAATCACCTACCTCCTTTTGACAACCCACTCCCACTTCCTGTCCGGCAGCTTTTGCAGGCTTTTGGAATCGTTGAAGACGCCGTCAGTGCCGGAGCCGTACGCCGCACAGGTCGGGTCCTTCCGGTACGGCTTGAGGGCGCATGGCTTGCAAAAATAATGACCGCACCGCGTCACCACCGGCTGCTTGTACGCCTCGCGGCACATAATGCACGCGAACGGTATGCTCTTGAGCAGCACGTCGTCATCGTCATCCTTGTTGTTCGCACGCTTGCCGCGATCTGCTGCGCTCGCAACCACCGTCCCTCCTATGTTCTTTTTGCCTTTGGCCACGCTTCCCCACTCCCGGGTCGAGCTGCCACCCGGCCTTGTAATACTCTCACGCGTGTAGGTACTTGCAGTTATTGCCGAAGCCTGTTTGCTTGTACTGTCCGCGGTTAAAAAAAGGGCTTGGGTTAGCAACAGCCAGCGCAAACAAAGGGAAAGAGAAGAAAAAAAAGGGGTTCGTGCCGAGAAAATGCGACTACCAGCCACTGAGACTTACATCTTTGCAAACATCTGGCGCAAAGTCGGTCACGGTTACGGCCCTAATGTTGGTTGTGCCTTGACCGGCCCCACTGTCCTCGACGGCGCGTCCGAGTTCTTTGGGCGCGGCGAGCGGCGGCCTGGCCCTTATGCTGCCCAGGAGGTCTTGGTCGAGAGCGCGTCGGCACCGTCCTACGCCGGGTGCTCGCGCACATATGGAGCGGGCATTACCGTCGCCGCAAGATTGGGTTACGACGAGTTTGCGAATGTGTCGGGGTGCCGTGTTTAGGTGCGGAGAATAACCCCAGGATTTGGTTGCTGGGGCAGCAATACAGGTGCATGTTTTGTCGGGACTGTAGCGCCCTATACGGCCCATGCGGTAACCACTCCACACCGACGCAGCAGCGTCGGGCGCTAGGCAATCGTGCGAAGTGCTTGGCCCGGCTCGACCCGACACCGCCCGTCAGGCTGTAGTAGCGATCGAGCGACTCGATGTAGGGCGCTCTCCTATCGCTGATTATGACGTTCTTGCGGCGGCGCCTAGGAGGCAGAGAATCGTCCTCATGCACGCGCGCGCGTTTGCGCGGGTCGCGACATCGCGTCATCGTCGGTCAGGTCGGTGTGGGAGATGCGAGGTAGGTCGTATATTCGGTCGGGCCGCGTGTATTGTAGGAGATGTGCGGTTATAGTCGGCGGCGCAGAGAGTCTAGAAGGAAGGAAGGCAGGTTGTATCGTCGATCGGGTCTGTGGGCGGGGCAATTGGAAGCGACACACGCAGGGCCGAGTTGGCGTGCAAAGCGCAGATGTGAGAGACGGTGAGGGTATCCGCCGGAGCCGGAGGGTCATGTGGGCACAGAGATATATCTCTGTGCCCCTCCCCGATAAGAGGGAGACAGGATATGCGGGGCTACCCTTGCTGCCCGTGACAGCAGATGACGGCGGGTGCGACCGGGGTAGGCCCATATTGACCCACCCTTCCCTCAGCCCGCCGTCACCTTGTCTTCACCTTGCCATCGACCCTGGCGCGGTGGTGCCCGCGTACCGGTACCCACGCTTTCCAAGGTCCTTCTTTCTTTTGCGTAGCCCATACGTGCCGCCAGCCGACTGTTAGCAGCGTAGGTAATGCCAGCCTCCGCGATCACGAGCAGGGCGAACCCGCCCGCCCAGCTTGCGCGGCGAACGTCACGGCGCACGGTCTCGAATGCGGTAGCTTAATCGCCGGGCCTGCCAAAATCACGACCGGCATCTCCGGCATCCGTAGGTAGGCATCGATCCGCCCCAAGCCCTCCTGCGGCCGCGGGACTCAGGCAGAGCAGGCCCGGGGTATAAAATGTCAGATAGAACCTCCCTAGACAGTTTTTGACTGAGGCTTCGGCATCAGTCAACCTAAGTTAGCTTCCAAGTATCCCTTGAAGCCAGCACCTTCCTTGAACACATCAATTCTTGGCATTGCACTGTTAGTGCACACAGCAAAGTTACATACAAATCCTTAACACCCGCCAATTCAGCGGCCCAACACCAACTCCACGCCCGCCCACGGCGCTGGCGACGGCACCATGCCGCCGCCAACGCCTCCCCTAGCCAGTAGGGTGGCGCACGCTATCCTCCGCGGCCCTTCAGCCCGGAGGCGCGCGTTGCTACCGCACCGGCCTCCGCGCACCCCAGCGCACACGCATGCGAACACGCCGTCCCCGTTGCGGAATGAGCAACATCCGACAGGGCCCGAACAGGGCCAGGAAGGCCTCCTCGGCGTCGGCGCCGACACAGGCGGCCCCTTCCCTTCCCCCC